ACAACCTCTCGTCAATATGCGTTTTTCGCATTGCATTGCTGCAAAAAACGCATAATAAATAGCGGCACGCATCAAGGCAGTTGGTGCGACATGCTTTTGCGCAGTTCTACCCAGTGAAAGTATGCCTGTGAAAAATATTAACTATTTTACATTTTTTGTGCGAAAAAAAAACCGTGCGCTGTTTTGCTTTTAAGCTAAGAGATCGCCCACTAAAAACTTCACGTGCCAGCACATAAAAGTTGAAGTTAGATCTCTGGACAGGAAACATCCCCCAAAATTTCAGTCGCCCAGTTTTTCAGCTTCCGAGTAGGTGACTTTTGCATCAAAACTTTCACATAAGACCTCGGCATACTTTGGAGCTGAATTTGAATCTGTGAGGCATCTATACAGACAGAAAATATCCTCCTGAAATTTTAGTCCCACAGTTCTTCTGGTTCCCGAGATAATAATTTTTCCCACCAGAACTTACCCGGTGTCACACAAGAGACCCAGGCATACATGAGGACTGAATTTGATTTTGCAAGGTCGCATTCTCCCAAAATTTCAGCTTTCTATCTTCCGTAGTTTTCAAGACATCAATTCTCGCCAAAACTTTCACGGGCCGCACGAGTTACCCATGGGCACGGAGAGGCTGAATTTAAATTTGCGGGGTTGCACGCGGGCAGGAAACAATCTATTAAAGTTTTAATGCCTAACTTTTGTGGTTTCACAGCTGAAAGTGCACACAAACACAAAAGAACATGCACATACACACAATCTTATGTCAATATGCGCTTCTGAATTTGCACAAATATGCAAAAACGCATAAAAACGTGGAAATAGTACAGGCTGCTGGCAGTAAACGTTTTCTCGAAATATGCAAAAATTTGCCTCCTTACTGGGCACTATAAAAGCTTCGAAATCCCAAAGCAGGATTTGTTGTTATGAATTGAATACAGCGGGCGGTTGCGCCACTTTGGGCGGATATATTCACTCAATTTTGCAAAAATCCATCGAAATTAGGGGATCTGAACAGCAGCTGAGGGCTCCAAATGGCTGTAGGTTCGGTGCCACCTCTGCCACCGTCTCAACCACCGGCGCCACCAGCTGCTCGCGCCGACAAGGATCGTCTGCCAAAAATTGGTGATGCGTTGAAATCTGAAAGGCAAATTTTTCGGTTACAAAAAATTATCGGTGAAGGTGGTTACGGGATCGTATTCGAAAGCGAACTTGAAAACAGGTGGGCACTTTTACAGAGATTATTTTCTGTGAAAAATAGCTCACTGAGGTAAGAGAGTGACAGTGAAACAGAAGGAAAATTTTTAGGCACTTCAGGACATTAACTTTAGTGGCTATAAGCATGTTTCACATTCTCTCCTGCCAGGCTGCAGGTGCACGGGCCAACAGCTTAATGATCAACAGATTTAGTGATGAAGCAACTAGTCAACGAACGTGAAATCCCCGTTACAGTAAAGACTTTAAAATGGTTTTCGAGACATGACATGGCGTAATGCGAAATAAATGAAGTAAAATAAGGGCTACACTACCCGCGCTTCTGGCTAGCTCGATTTCCGATTGTGGTTACATGCAGTTGGGGGGCGAAAGACTGCTGGAAATCTCAGCTGATCAAAAAATGTCGCCAGGATAATGGATTGAATTTTTCTTCGAGCAGTTTAATCATTACGGTTTTCTGTGCTCTAAAAAATAATATACCAAAGGAGGATGGGAGCAGCACGCTAGGTTTTGGTGCGCTGAGTTAAAGTTGGGGAATCGCAGCAACAAAATGAGATAACAGTCGGTGTAACGCGTGAAAAGAAATAAACTTAATCTTAGCTCTCGGTCTATCAGGACTTGTACTGTCTGCACAGAGATGAACTGTAAGCCTTGGATGGTGCAGCTATTGGCGAATCCAGGGGTCTTTCGCCTCCGCCCTACCCCCCTCCTTCCCACACATGAGCTCAGGCAGTAGCTATTTTACTGTAGAAAACTCTGTTCGATACCACCTGTCGCCCCCCCCCCTTCTCCGGTTTTTGCCGTAGTTTACGCCGACTAGCGGAGGAAAGGAAGGGCAAGGGGAGGGGGAGGGAGAGAGGAAGTTGCAGATTGTGGAACATAGCGACGATCGAGGATGGGTTACGAAATGGGGGAGGGAGTGTAGTGACCAAGGAAGAAAGGGAAGTTAAAAATGCCCCCCCCCC